TCGTGTAGTTTGATTGTGAATTGGCCATTCAGAAAGAGAAAAGAGACGCGCGAAAGTGGAAGGCTGAGTCAACTCGATTCAAATATATGGTAAGTTCGAATTCGTTCTTTTATTGGCGGTAAAAAGTAAAAGCTGATAATTTACTGTGGTAACTGTCTTGTGACATTTTCTTTTGGTAATTACATTTATATCATTGTATAATATATAAGTAAATATTCTTTAATTTGAGACTATATAATACTATACTCCAGAATAAATTTAGAAATACTGGCTGAATTTATTTATAAATTCAGGTTTAGTTTAACAAAATATGCAAATTTTATTAAGATAATAAAAATTTAATTTCATATAAAATTTCGGACAAAAATTTAGAAAAAACGCAATTTTATAAATTCAAGATTTTCATCATCTTCTTAGTAAATAAACTGTAAATTTGTAAATGAATTCCATAAAAATTTTACATTTTTATAAATATAATTTAATTAAATTGCCAAAAACATGAAAATTTTAATGAAAGTCTCGTATTCATTTATACATTCTTCTATAATATACTTTCTAACAATTTCGATTCCATATCTGCATTATACCTCATGTAAAAATTACACTATATTATTGCTTCCAAACAGTATTTATACACTGAGGAATTGTACGTTGGTTCTCTTATCAATTAAAACTAAAACTATACGTACGTAGGTATTCATATACAGGCAAGTGTAAGTTTCGACCTTTCTACCCTTTTTACAATTCCCAAAATTTTAAACCTTCACACATTACTCTAAATTTCAAACTCATTTAGACATCATCAATTGAACGGCATGAAGGAGAAATTACCAGACATAAATAGTAATAGGAAAAGAACTGAGTATTCCCAAGACCTATGTGACTTGAAACCAAAATTTTAAGATCCTAACTTCTTACTAAAAGCACGCCTTGAAGTTCTTAGAACTTAGAACCACTGCAAATTAACAGCAAATCTCTTGTCCTATGCTTTTAACTCAATATATAAGCATTCCGTTACTCAAATCAAAGCTACAATGTTCAAAACGCTTGGGAAAAAATTACATCCAAACTACCCAACTCAGGAAGAGCATAAATCATCACCCAAAAACAGGCAACAGCAGCTAAAATGCAACTGATAAATCACAACCTTCTTCCTCTTCTACCACCCTTTCTGCGCGTGCTATCAGTCGGGATTGGAGTCACATCCTCTGAAAAACAAAAGAAAATTTTCAAGTCAATGGAACTGGATCCTACAACAAGGACAGAGCACCCCAGACAGTTTTAATAACAGTAAAGAGAGAAAAGGCAACTAAACAGAGGACGGCAACCTCTTTTGATATTGTTACTTTTTTTTAGATAAAGCTATTCTGATACCTCAAAGCAGGAAAAGCAATCACTTGGGGAAACATTTGCAACAGGCACTACCAAGACCAGTTCCAAAGTTTGACATAACTACAAATATGATTCTAACAAAATTACGTGAAACATTTTCCAATCATAACAAGCTAAGGATGTTTAAGTACCTATACGACCAATCCTCATGCCCGAACGAGCAAGGGCTCTAAGTGCTGACTGAGCTCCAGGTCCAGGAGTCTTGGTCTTGTTGCCTCCAGTGGCTCGAAGCTTTACATGAAGAGCAGTGATGCCAAGCTCCTGCAGTTTTTATAACACCAAAGGCCAATAAGCTTATTGCACAAGTAATGTGCACCACTTCAGTGTACTGAACATAGAAATTTCTAAAAAACTTCTACGATAAGGTGCAGCAGGTATCAATAAAATGAAATAAATGTGACAGCAGTTGCATGCAATTGTAGATCATCAAAATGGGATGACCTTGCATCTTTGTGCAACGTCTTGTGCTGCAAGCATGGCTGCATATGGTGAGGATTCATCCCTATCTGCTTTGACCTTCATACCACCTGGCATTGAAGAAACATTAGGAAGAAAACCAAAAGAATAAAAGAATAACACCCCAGAAAAATAACAGTGGGAAACGTTTTACTACATAATCACTAGATGTATTCCCCCGCTTAGAATCCCAAGTTGATTAGTTATTTTGCTTGATTAACTTCACAGATATGGCTTCATATCAAGAAATTTTGAACACCTAAAGTTTGCATTTAGACAAAATATAAGACATTGAACAGATCAATTTTGAGCTCATAAACCAAAATTATGGATAAGAGGGTGTTTGGGTTGCTAAAAGAAATGCACTTGAAGCCTGCAAATTACTTTAACTAACAAAAGCAAGTACCTATTTATTCTAAAACTAAGTAGTTAAGCATTCGGATAGATTGTTGTTTGCAAAAAGTAAACAGATGTTTTTAATTAAAAATATTAATAAAATATATGTTTGTTATGATTATTTTATTATTTCATTGTTTTATGTATATTGTTACTTTTAAAAATATATCAAGAGGATACTTAAATAAATGAATTAGATTCGAAAAGAATAAGACCTAAAAGTTAGGGCTAAGGCGCTTACATTCTTAAGTTCATTTTTAAGAATCTAACAAAATATCCTGTTTTTTAAGTCACCAAATGCAACCATCAAAGCAGGATTGCTTAAAGTTACTTGTAAGTACGAAATAAGCAATCCAAGATACCTTTTAATTATTGTAAAGAAAAAAGAAGTAACTAAACTTGTAAAGATATCATTTGAACTTCACGATTCACTAACAATCAGACAGTTAGATAAGCAATCTTAACAAGCCTAAGCATATAACATACCAGTGATGCGAACGAGTGTTTCCCTGCCGGACAAATCAGTTACATGCTGCAAAAGGAAGCATAAATTTTTTAAGTTACCAATAATAATAAGCTTAAATTCAAATAACATGGTACTACTTACAATAAATGTATCATTGAATGAGGCATAAATGTGAACCACCCCAAAAACATGCTCTCCCTCACGCACAGCAGGTCCAAGGGTAACATTTTCCTCCTTGGGCTCCCTGGTTTTCCTCTTCGACTAACAAAAAAGAAATAATTGCCAAAGCATAAATTTCAACTGTGAGATACAAAACCTATAAAATAATTGAAACTAACATTTTTGCAAGGAAATAATACTTGCAATTTTTAAGTGAAATCAACATCTAGGTTTACTGGCATCAGCAATACAAAGCATGAACATGGTATAACTCAGAAGTGGCAACACAATGTTCACTTATATATGTGATTTTTGGGAACCGAGACCACATGGCAGATGAAGATATTCAGTTTCAAATCAAATAAAGCAAAATAAGAAGAGATCAGAAGATACATTCCATACTGTTAAGTGATTTTCAAACAGATTAAGATAACCAATTCTCAGTTTGATTGGGTAATAGTAGCACGTTTAAAAATTTACCATCCTTCGTAGAAACAAAACAAAAGGGGAAAAAAGGATTGACAATTTCTTCTTTATTTTCTCAGATCTTCTTGGTAGCACGCACAGACTGCTAGAGAGAACTTAATACACCAGGGAAACGACAGTAACACAAATTAACACTGGCTCCGTACATTCCAGATAATTGTCTATGCATCCCTAGTCAAGTATAATCATATGAGCCTTATAAAGGTGGTAATGAAAATTCATCTTAACTGCCAGCCACACCGAGCCATTCTTAAGAAGTTATACAAACCCAACAAAAGATTTATAGTGTGTCCTTCAGCCACCAAAGACGACAAGCACAAATTGCATTCTCGTTCACCGGAAATAAAAGAACCATCAATAGAAGAGCGCATATGCGCATTATACATGTAGCATAGATCTTAAACCAAATCCAGCAACAAAACACTCGTCAAGAAACAAAAATCTGTTGAGCCCCTGCATTTTTCTCAGCAATCAATCAAAGCCTAGACCTTTTGTAATCGATAATGGAAAGCTTTCCGAGGAAACGTAGAGAAAAGCTTACCATTGCTTCGAGACGATGAAAGAGAAAGGTAGCGGGTTAAGCTCTCTGTTGATGGAAAACCTTGTCAGCCCTGGCCGTGAAGAAGGTCACAAATCACACAAGATAGATTTTATAGCTAGGGTTTCTTGTAGGCGGAGCAGCATACGACTCGGGTCGGGTCGGTTTCACCTCGGGTTTCGTTTTAATTTATGAAAATCTCCCTGTATTTGTCTTTTAAGTTAAAAACCCTTAATTCTAAAATTTTTAACAAATATCACCATATTTTTCATGATTTATTCATGTTTTCTGATATTAAATTAATATTAATAGTAAAATTAGACAGAGTTTTACAATACTTACTTTAATAGGAACTGTTATTTTTCAAATTTTTAAAATAATTTTAAATTAAAAAAAATCTCACAATCACTGTATTTTTTTTATTTTTTATAAAATAATTATATATTTAATGTATAATAAACAACTAATTAATTTAATATATGTCTATATTTAATATATAATTACAAATTTTACTCAATTTATTTTCATTTAATTTATAATTAATATTTATTTTTTAAATACAACAAGTATAACACCCCGACCTTAATTCAGAGGCGTTACAACGAACCTGCCTATATATATTGTATGATATATAATATTTATATTTAAGTTCTCTCAAACTAATATAATCTGGTATACAGTAAAGGTTTAAATTTAATCATTCAATGTCTAAATTTACTTCATTATACATTTATCAATACCGTGAATCACAATTACACAATTCTCATTTTCAAAATATTTTACTTTCCACTAATTATACAAGTATTCCGGTTCATTACCCATGCTTCCCAATTAGTCTCCTCTACGCACTAAGTTCAGAAGAATGCAACCCTGATCAAGTTTTCTATGCTACATCATCTATAATTGATAAGTAATAAGCATACACAAACTCAGTAAAATAAATTCAAAATATAAACATAGTATGAAAATCCATTTAAATACCTATATTAGTGCCACACTTCTTAAACTCTTACTTCCATTAACCTCTTTGTTTCCCCTATCCATGCTCTTCTTCACTTACGCACTTACCACCACTATAATCACAATTCTCCTCAAAAGAAAACTGTCAAATTTTACCACATAAGGTCACCACTATATGCCACAACAACAGTACTCAAAGTACCAGTATGTGTCCACCCGACCATAAATCAGTCACACACCAACACCAATACCCTATAGGTAACCCCCAATTTGACTACCCAACTTACCTCTATTTTCGCCAATCATCAATCCTAAATCAACTACACACTCACATCGTTATCCTTCAAGTAACCCCAATCCATCACTAATATCAACGACCCAACTTACCATCATTTTCGCCAATAATCGATCATAAACTGGCTACACACTCACATCATTACCCTCCAGGTAACCCTCAGCAATCATCAATATCAGTGATTCTCCCTTATTCCTTTACCAACAATTATCAACAACCAACATCGGTGTATTCACACAAAAAAAAATACCACAACTACAATTATACAATTTTCATAATCACAACCAATCATCATACATGCATGCGTATTTAACAAGCACACACATATATACATACATATTTAATCAGTACACAGAATAGTTCATTTTTACATCCACACACATGTACAATCAATAGAGTCCATACAATTTCCACATACTCATTTTTTATGTCCTGTAACACACACACACACACACACACTGTTATTGCCTGTTTCCATCACGCTCTCCCTTCACTTCACACAACTATTTTCCCCTATTTAGTAACACACACACTATTTGTAACATCAATCCCATACTTCCTATTTCCATCTTTCTTTCACATGTATCTCTCTCTCTCATCTCTACTAACCGTCCCTCTCAGGACACTCAAGTCGTCACAGCCCGATTCCATACTTCATTCCCACCCTAACTTCAACATCTCTAGTTTCCTCTCTATTTGGTGACTATCAAACACTCTTCTACGTGTATTCACACATTTTTTTTGCCTAATCCCTACATTTTCGAATTTGCTTCTCTCTCTAGTGATATTATGGTGCATATATATATATACACTGACATATATGTATACACTTGTTCGGTCTCATTTTCGCTAATCCCTCTAGCTCGAGCTCTTCACGATTTCACCTACCATATTTCCTCTTATTAATTCCTTTCCTAACCAACTCTTTTAAGCGAGTGATTCCTCATTTCGCGGCTCCCTATCCTCTCTGTTGGCCCGCTCTCTCTCTTCTATGGTTCATTACACAAACACTCATCATACCGTAGGATTTAACTACAAATTACCATTTTCAGTGTTTAAGATTCAAATTTATAATGCCTCTTGCCTCCATCGTCCTCAACACAACAACAATTCTCTCAATCACCTTAATTGTCTGCTCCCTTTCTTGCTCTTTCTCTATTCTGACCGCCTCTTTTCTTCTCTTCTCCTTTTTTTTTCTTCTTTTCCTCATCCTATTTATACCCAGCCTGACAAATCATCACAACCGTCCATTCCTTTTAAACTGCCCCCTCTCACTCTCCTCCCCCCCCCCCCCCCACACCCCTTCGCCCACCCCCTTGTTTTATAAACTTAGTTATTACACAAGTGAAAAGTGTATCGTATGGCATCAGAATATATTAATCCCATAAATAAAATATTAACAAATCTACTAAAATATTAATGAGATCCCTAAAATCTTCCATAAAATTTAAAAGGTGACTGATAACAAAAAAGTAAAGGTTTAAAATTATCTCTTTTTAATAGAGTAAAAATCATTAATAATATCTACATCTTCAATGTCCATCAATTTCTCTTCTTGTAGACTGCCCAAAAAATTGAGTGAAATTTATTTATAATTCTATGTTGGTTTTAATATGTATATTTATTATAATATACATAATGTTTAGCCTATGATAAAAATGTACTTAAATTGATGTAAAATTTTATATCTTACACATATATATAAAATGTTATTAAATTAATTTTCAAAAGTTTGATATTTTGTACAATCCGATTCTTAATGTTTGTTCCGTTGCAATTTAATTTCTAGTATTTTCTATTTATTTAAATATTTAGCTTTATTTTATTTCATAACAAAAAAGTAAAATAATTATACAACATTTGAATACTTTAAAAAAATACAAAAAATAATTTTAACTAATTAATTAAACTGATGAATTAATAACAACAAAAAATATTTCTTACTATAATTATAATTTAATTAAATTATTAAATTGAATTTTTAGTTATTTTTTAAAGCATAAACATGACATAAATATTTTATTTTTTTCAATAAAGAACAAAAATTGAATGTTTAAAATAATTGAAAAATTATATAGACTAAATATTGTAAAAAAATATTAAAATTAAATTATAACAATTATTGACCTTCACATATTAATTTGTTAATTTACTTTATATACATATAATGCGTTAAACCACGCAATTCCGAAAATATTATTTACTTTTACAATTAATTAATATATATAATATTATATAAAATGTGCATAAATTTAATTTATTTATTTTCTAATTTTAATATGAATAGAAATATATTCCATAGATACTGTATGGTATATTTAATTATAAAATGTTTAACGATAATGAAATATTTTTTTACAAGTAATAGTATTATAATTATATGGTAATATATATTTGAATTTATGATATAAATTGTATAAGATATAGTAATGATTATGTGATATTATTGTAACTAATTGTAATAACTCGTCATTCCAGAAAGTTACAAATCTCTTTAATTGAAGTTAATTTCTCTCAACTAAATACTGACTCAACTTTCTCGGAGTTTAATGACACTCCATCATTCGATATGATGCACCATAGAAAGGTAGTCTGCTCGAGTCAGAACCTACACTTGCTCAATTTTGTATATAGTTTATCTTTCCTGAGAACTTATAAAACCTGAGTCAAGTAGTGAGCGTGTTCCTCTTTGCTCTTTTAATATACCATGATATTATCGATAAACACAATGACGAACTGATCTAAAAATTGTCTAAAAACTCTGTTCATCAAGTCCATGAATATAGTTGGTGCATTGGTTATCCCAAAAGGCATGACCAGGAACTCATAGTGTCTATATCGGATTCTGAAAGCTATAGTGGGAATGTCCTATACCCTGATCTTTATCTGATGGTAACCCGAACGCAAGTCTATCTTGAAAAAAACTTGTGCACTCTGTAACTGGTCAAAAAGGTTGTCAATTCTGGAGAGGGGGTACTTATTATTGATTGTGAATCTGTTTAATCCTCTGTAGTCGATACATAATCTCATGGTCTCATCCCCTTTATTTACAAACGTGACTCTATCATCCTAAGAAGATACATTATGTCGGATAAACCCACTATCCTGTAATTTCTTGATCTATTTCCTTAGTTCTTCAATCTCTACACAACTCATGCGGTAAAGGACAACTGAGATATGTTGGGTGTCCGACTGAAGATCTATGGTGAACTCAACTTCCCTGTCCACTAGCTGTCTAGGTAGTTCATCAAAGAATACATCCAGAAATTCTCAGACCACAAAGATTTCTTGAATGCAAACTTTTTTTTTAGGTTCGCCTATTATAGAAAAGACAAACGAGTTAAAGCGTCGCATAAACGAGGCAATTGCCATGAGAAAATAATACTTAAAACTTTTATTAATTTGGAAATGACTCTTCATTAAGAAGGTTGAATACAAGTTTCTTGTTGAAATAATTTATGGTGGCGTGATATGCTGCTAACCAATGTATTCTCAAGATTATATCAAAATTTCCTGTGT